GAAGGCTGGCGGTTCAAACCCACCAGCCACTCCTTGGAAGGAAGATGGGGCAATCTACTTCTGTAGTGATACTGCCTCAGAAACCCAAAGAGGGGTCGCTATGAGTCGAGTCCGACTCGACGGCATATAACAACAACAACATTTTTATTTCAAAAGTCATTACCTCTTCTAAGCATACATGAAAGTCTCTTACAGGTATTTGGAAAAAAAAAAAATTGTTTAACTCTTTCACAAGTATTAATTAAATTGTTTTAAGATGGATTGGGACCAAAAGAAACTTTAGTGGCTTATACTTGTTTTTAGAAAGACAGTGGTGATGGTAATCATTAAACAAAACTGATCCTGTGGATGATTAGGTGGCAGTTTCATTTACATTTAACAGAAATTAAGTGTTTCAGGCTGCTAAAATAACATTCAGTAAACAAAGCCCTAAATTATATTACAATGATTCTCATTTATGTAGTTGTTGCTTCACCAGGGTTTTTTTCCCCCCCCTCCTTTTGCTTTCGCTCTTTTATGGGTGCATTGTTTCATAGTTCTTTAGCAACAGAGAACATGGGAAAAAGAAGGTGCAATTCATGTCAGTTGCTTTTGCAATTTTTTTATTCTGGTAACTAGTTTCAGTAGGAACAATGCTACTACTGACTAAAGTAACTGTTTTATATTATATTTTGTTTGTCTAGATATAGATAGATAGGTCTTCTACATGAAGTTAGTTGTTTTCAAAAGTAACTTTGGAATACCTTAACTTTTGATCATTTATTAGCCACCTAACTATGGAATTTAGGAAAAAATAGTGAGATGTTATTACTAGGCTGAACATACCGTCAAAAATCAAACATTCAGTTTCAATAAGCACTAGACAAATTTAGTATAAACATGAGATTATTTGTTCTATTGTCTGAAAAATGACTCTACCAGTAGTAATTCAGACATCTCTATAGTCTGGCTCTACCCTCCTATCTTATGTCATTCCTAAAGTATAAGTGGGTTGTGTTATGGAAGTTCATTTGTAAGACATTTAAAACTTGAAATATAGTTTACTAGAGAAGGACTGATGTAAATTTCAGAAAAATAGGAGGCAGATGTAATTCACACACTCTAAAATATGTGTAAGATTTATCAAAAGCAGCTAAACTTGGCCAGAAATAGTAGAAATGAATAGAAGTGTAGAGTCCAGGTCACATGCTACAATTCCCATTTATCCATAATGTAGCTAATTTGTAGAAATGACACTGTCTCAGCTAGTGAATCTCTGGGAAGAGAGTGAGGTATTAAGTTGTCAGCAGTAGGGTTTTAATGGTTAGGATCTCTGAGGAGTAGAATGTTTGGGAAACACCAATAAGCAAGCAACTTTTTGGGTCTGGCTAGGACATTCCAGGCAGGGTTTAGCTGTTGTACATTATTTAGAAAGAAATGTAGATTAATGACAGCCTTAGATGAGTGGAGATAACAAAGAAACTCCAGGGATGGACCTGAGTATATCACAAAGGGAAGCAAAAGAAGAAAGAAAGGAAAAATCATTCAGTTTTGCCTAGGTAGTCTGTGGCAGAGCAAGAAAGCGGTATCAACATGTAATTCAGAAAGTATCTTTTTAGATCTGTACTTTCATTTACATTACCTTGGTAGGGGACCAGAGGGATAGTGGGAAATATAAATTATGCTAAATTGTCCAAACTGTTTGCCATACGCAAAATGGCTAACAGACATTATAATTAGAAGAAAATGGCTAGAAAGAATGCTCTTTGTTTATGACCTGATGTATGTCTCCACAACGTTGATGGTCAAGGCACACTGCCTCAGCAACAAGTGAATGGTGTTAACCATATGATCATTTTGATCAGGTACAGAAAAATAAGGTGCAAAAATGAAATTAGTATTGATACTTTAACTGAGGTATAATGACAACACAGAAGTACTAGTTTCTGTCATGTCTACTAAGATGTTATATCATCTGAGACCTTCAAATAATTTCTTCTAGTACTGACATGTGCTTGGTTGCTTTAAAGTCTTTCTGATTACATACTCTGAATGCTCATCTTATGTCCTTCTTAGCTGATACTATTCACAACAAGGGAGGAAATAGGAGGAAGCACCTCTGGCTGTGGCATGGTTTTCTTTGTGATGAATTTGGCACTTCTGGATGCAGTGTCCTGCTTTCAGTCTTGTTTTGTATTTTCATTCAGTATGAGTTAGAGAATTTTTACCTTACTGTGAATATTATTTGAAACCAACAGAAACAGACCTTTACAGTCAAATAATTCTGTTGCATCTTGTTGATATTAGACTAAGTCAGGAAGAGTCCTGGTGATGCAGTGATTAAAGCACTTGGTTGCTAACCAAGAGGCCAGCAGTTTGCACTCACCAGCAGTTTGCTTCCATAAAGATAGCCTTGGAAACCCTATAGGGCAGTTCTACATCGTCATATAGGGTTACTATGAGTCAGAATCAACTCAGCAGCAATGAGTTTGGTTTTTTGTTTGTGGTTTAGACGAAGTCAGCCAAATTAGTCTGAGGTTGCTTAATATAATAAATTCTGGTCTTATATCCCTCTGGCTAATTGTGAATTGCTGTTTTATGTTTATTCATAGGCAGTTGTAATGTGATACTATCAGTCAGAGGGTAGAAAAGTAATAGCCAAAACCTTCCATAGGTCATTAATAGTCAAAAATCCAAGAGCATTTCCTGAAATTAAAGGCCAGTTTTCTTCAGTGATTTAACATTCTTCTTTCTTTTCTAAATTTTCCTAGCAAAAAAAATATGTTTTAAAAAACCACTGCCATCAAGTCAGTTGCAACTCACAGCAACCCCCATGGAGTTCCCAAGGCTATAAATCTCTACGGAAGTAGACTGCCTCATCTTCCTCTTGCAGAGCAGCTGATGGTTTTGAACTGCTGACCTGGTTAGCAGCCAAATGCCTTACCCACTATGCCACCACACCTCCTTAAAAAATACATTACTAATCTTTAAATCTAAATTCTGATATACACAGACATAAATAGAAGCTTAGTCCTGTGTGAAGAATTTATAAGAAGACCATAATATCAGAGGGCACATCCTGGCTCCATCATCCCCTTAGCTGAGTGGGCTTGGGTACTTATTTGCATCTCAATTTTCTCATATGTAAAATGAAATGATAATAGTATTCCCTTGTGGGTTGGTATAAAGATAAAACAATATTAGTAGGTGTGCTTCCACAGAAAAATGGAAATCATTATTTGGATGGAATAGCTGAGACTATCCCAAAGCAAGAAAAAAAAGGTATGATGCCCTTTTCACAGTTCATTTGATATAATTATGGACAGGGTTCCTGACAGAGAGAAGTACTTAGCTTATCAGTGAAATAAGGTGAGCTAAAAACATTGTCTGACTTCTGACGTACTATATAACAAAAGATTTTTGTACCACTTCACACTTGAATGGCAAGATAAAGTTTTAGATGAGAATATTAGCATTCCTACTATAATCTCATTTATAGTCATAATAGGACTGAAAATATGGATCCTACTAGACCAGATGCCAAATTGCCATACTAGCATATGTAATTTCTTCCTAAAGCCCAGGAATTTTCCTACCACTTCATACTACCTTAAGTTTTCTGATTTTAGCTGCAGAATTTTTATGAACTTCTATCTGGTGTAGAAATTTCTCTCCTTAAGAAGAAGAATGAAGCACCTGTTCAGAATAAGACTTAATTCTTTTAATAGTGTTAAGACTATTAAATGGGGATAAATTTACATGCATA